GGCACAAAGACTGAGAAGTAAGAAACATATTTCTTTAGCTGCTGGCACTGTCCTGGCGGTAGTGATTCAGTCTCTCATGTGCCAGTCCTGGTGAGATGATGACACAGCCCCATTCCATGGTAGATTCTTACTCTTAGCTCTAACCATATTTTCTTTTTCCAAGTAAAAAATGTCACTTTATTAGTCTTTTCAGAGAATGAACATTTCATTAGTTTATTCTATCATTATTTCATTAACACATGTGCTTAGCTTTATTAGCTATTCTTCCACTTTTTGAAATTTAATTTGATGTTCCTTTCATAATTGTTTTTCTTTAATTTTTAAAATTTAAGTATTGTACATCTCCACAACATATAAAGTGAATCTTCCCAGCATACACTGCATATCAGTCCAAAGACATTACCATACACATTAACATCACCAGATAATTTTCCATCTTTGTGTCCCTAAAGTTTTGCTTTTATTCCCCTTTGACTCCCCCTCTCACACCCCATTGCCCATTGCCCACCCTCCTTCCACACTGTCTCTAGTATCCAGTTGTTCTCCATACTTTTATAACTTACAATCTTTCAGTTTCTGCTGTAAGAGTGCAGATGTTAGGTATATATTAAGTGAGAACATATAATACCTCATATAGTCTGGCTTGCATCACTTAGCATTAAATCTTCCATATTCATCCACTTTCTATCGAATGCCAGGATCTCTCTCTCTCTCTCTCTCTCTCTCTTTTTATGGCTGAGTAATATGTCATAGTTTTATGAGCCACACTTTTTCAATCCATTCATCTCTTCATCTCTACTTGGATATTTGGGTTGCATGACTCTAGCCTTTTTAAATTTCCATTTGCATGTTTGCATGTTTCCAGCTGTTCACCCTCAGTCTATATATGTTTTTACTTGTGAAGTGGATTTCTATTTTTTTATTTTTAGTTTTTAGAGTTTAGTTTTTGTGGGTTTTTGTTTGTTTTTGTTTTGTTTTGGCCATAGGGCTTGTGCGCTCACCAGAAAGAGAGACAGAGACAGAAAGCAAGAAATTACCTCCTGGGAGGGATGACTATACCGCAGTATCTTCTTCTACATTCTCCTCCTGGGATCTTGGGCATGCACACACACACACACACACCTGGCATGAGTCTTTTAAGTCACCAGGTCTGGGACTCGAACTGCGGTCAACTACATGGGCGTCCAGTGATGTAACCATTACATCATCTGCTGGTCTCATGAGGTGCATCTCTTATGGAAAGTACATAGAGGGCATCTTTTTTTCTTTTGGTCTTCTTTGTTGTTGTTAATCCAGCCACTCTGTGTCTTTTCATTGGAGAATTTAATCCACTATCATTCAACATTATTATTGATATTTGTGAACTTATCCTCTTATCCTTGTTATTTTGTTAGCCATTTTCTTGGTTGTTATGTGTTCTCTCATTTCTGTTTGCCTCTCTCTAGTTTTCCTGATATAATACTCCCTTCAGTATTTCTTGAAGAGTTGTCCTAGCTTTTGTAAATTTTTTTCAGTTTTTGTTTATCTGAGGATGCTTTTATTTCTTCTTTCCATTTAAAGAATAATCTTGCCAGATACAGTATTCTAGGTTGGAATTGTTTTTCTTTTAGTTTTGAATATGTCCTCCCATTCTTTCCTTATCTGCATCATTTCAGTTGACAGATCTGATGTTAGCCTGATAGGACAGCCTTTGCAGGTAACTTGATGCCTCTCTCTTGCCATTTTTAGAATACTGTCTTTATCTTTATCTTTGATTTTTACCAGCCTGACTATGATTTGTCGTTGAGAAGATCTTATGTTAATTGTATTTGTTGTCCTTTGTGCTTCCTGGATTTGTATGTCTTTATGTTTCTCTAGATTTGGAAAGTTTTCAGATAGTATTTCATGAAAGATATTTTCTATGCCTGTATCACCTTCATCGCCTTCTGGAATTCCCATTACTTGTCATTTAATGGTTTCTAGTATTTCCCATATATTATCATTTTCCTTGGTTATTTTTCCATTCTTTTTCATGGTTTGGTTTAAGTCCAATGCCTTGTCTTCCAGATCAGAGATTCTTGCTTCTGCATGGTCCAGTCTGCTATTGATGGAAGATTCTGATTTCTTGCATTGTATTCATCTTCAGAAGTTCTGTTTCTTTATCAGAACTTTCTTTAGTGAAATTCCTCCTTCAGGTCACAGGACGATTTTCTAATCTGGAGTTGGTTGGTTGTTTTGTCTTGCATCTCACTGAATTTTGTTACAAAGAATATTCTGATTTCTATTTCTGTCATTTTTCTTTTTTTTTTTTTTTTCCATAGTTGGTGAAGAGTTGCAGTTATTATTTTCAGGGGGAATGTACTTCCTGACTTTCTCCTGTTTTTTGAGGATGTTTTGCTTTGTAGGTATCTGGCGAGATACTTGCTTTTTCCCTTATTTGGGTTAGGTTTTGGGAGCTGTATGCTTGTGTACTTCTCTGTGGTATACTTTAGCTCCCCATCAGTTTTCCTATTTCTGAACTTTTTAAACTCCAACATGGCTAGGCAGACTTGAAGCTGAACTTCCTAGGTAAGGTCACATGTCACAAGCAACACACAGGCCTGACAAACCTGCTGGAGCAGGTTTGGAATTCACTCTGGCTCTGAAATTCACAGACGGCCTACCTAGCAATGGAGGACCCAGTCAAACAGTGCCAATGCCTACTGTCTCTGGCACCTGTGCAGGTACTTGCACAGGAGTATGTGGGAGAGATTCCCCAAACTGCTCCTTCCTCCCTGGCTCTGGGACCTGCACTGGGCCTGGCTGATGGTGAAAGATCCAGCCAAACACCTCCATTGCCCTACATTCTCACCCGGCTCTCACTGACATCAATGCCACTAGATTAACAGGTAATAATCCAATGTTAAAGCACCTGTTTATGATTAATGCTAAAGATATATAACCATTTTCCCTCATCCTATTCCTAGACACAATATAAACAAGGGGCAATGACCAGGTAAAAATTTCCCAGGGAGTCAACTGATTTTTTGTCTTCCTGCTCAATCTACCTGATAAAATTTGCAGGTGACATGCTCATGGTTGAATTATGTGCTCCAGATCTTTAAAATGAGTTTCTTTACTTTCTTTGTGCCAAACTACGAGGCTGAAATAACGGCAGATTAACCATTTATTTTGTTAACCACGACTACACCACACTACAGATGCTTCTCAGTGTTTGATGCAGTTATGACCTAATGAATCATCATTAAGTAATAAATATCCTTAGTTGGAAATTTACTTAATGCTGGTAATACATCAGACATTCTCTAACTTAGGATTTTTTGACTTTGATAGTGTGAAAGTAAAACAAATTCAGAAATCATAATTCTATTGTAAGTCATAAGGAGCTTCTCTACTTAACATGGGGTACATCCAGATAAACTCACCATAGAGGAAAAAAAGTCCTAACTCATCCAGTTAAGTTGAAAAATGTCTACATATTATTTTCTCAAAAGTGACCGTTTTTTCAGTACGATGCTGTGCTTCTTACAAGTAGTTCTTTCCATTACAAACCCAAAGTTTGCTATCTTGGTTGTAAAAATAGCACTAATTTTGCAATACTGCGCAGTGTGTGTAGGCAACATGATGCCAGAAAAAGGATCCTAGACAGTTCTAGGCTATATGCAGACACGGTGGCCAAGGAATGTCTTGTTTTATAATCACTCAGGACAAGCTAAACTAGAGCAGAATAAAACAAAGGCAAAAAATAAAGATATAAGGATCAACACATATACATACATATATATACACACACAGAGATACCCACAAGAATATTTGGAACATTACACAGCTCTCCAAGGTCCTAAAACAAATAAAAAACCCAAGGCAGTCTAATATTCAGACATAGCAAGTACACCAAAATCTAACAGCATCATATTGAGGGAAGCCAAAAGAGGCTGAGAAGCAAAGTGGGTATGTCCAAAGTAGGTTTGGCTACTGACTCCTACTAGATCTCATCAGTAAACATGAATCACCTTTTTACATATAGACTCAGATATTCCACATAGTTCAGAGACTATTCACAAACATTTATTGGTATTATCCACAGGATTCAAGTTATTCCTCCATTTTAAAAACTACATTCTACAGTGAGTTTTTTTAGGTATTTTCTTATACATTTTCTACAAAACTCTTATTACATAAAAACACATTTTGGTGTATCAGTTATATATAAAGATTTTACACTCAGTTGTGAAACTGACACATTCCTTTGGAGGGAAAATCTAAAACATTCTTTCAGTATTTGTTGAAAAATGTCACATTTTCAAAATATAACATTTTAGTTTCATTATTTGATACTTAATGCAATTCATGTGGTAAAGGCTGTTGTGTTTTTTCCCCTGAGGTTAATTTTTAATGAAGGCTTCTAATCATTCAAGATGCTGAAGTTTAATTCCCCATGTGAAGTCTGTGACATACAATGATAAATTTAATTAAAGGTTTTTATGACATTTATTATATTAACAGGATTTCAGCCCACTCTAACAGAGTTGGCTAAACAATGTGCATTAGGTTATCAGGCCAAGCCTGTAAACACTCATTGCAATACAAACCTAATTCTTGCTTTAAGAAAGAAAAGAAAAGAAAAAAAAAAGGCAGTAAAGATTTAGAAGTGGAGAATTCTGATCCACAGTTATAAAGACACTAGCTTCTTTGGCTTTGTGTTCTACCATTTTCAATACACAGGACCCCACTTGGCTATGGAAATCATCTCCCTTCTACCTTACTATGGACCTGGAAAAATGGAAGGTGATTTTTAAAAAAATGTATTATAGGGAACCAACAGTTAGTGTAATGGCTATGTCGCTGGACTCCCACGTAGTCGACTGTGGTTCGCATCCTGGACCTGGTGGCTTAAAACTCCCACTGGGCACGTGTGCATGCGTGCCCAAGATCCCAAGAGGAGAATGGAGAAGGGATTGTGGCATGACCATCCCCCCTGGGGGGTGATTTCTTGCTTTCTGTCTCTATGTTTCTGTTTGGCGAACGCACGTGCCCTATAGCGAAAAAAACCTCTCCAAAAAAAGAAAAAAAAATGTATTATATATCATTAGCATCATAAGCCATGATCAGTCCCCAATGGGTAAATGACAGGTTGGGAAATGTTGATGAGCTATGCGCCTAGTGGGAAATGATATGGTTGAGGGAAACTATCTGCCAGTCTATGTCATAGGAGTTTCTCAACTGTGTATCTAATAAGATATAAGCCTCTTCAGGACTTCCCAAATTCATTACGTGTTAGGGTTTTCTCTTTGGTGTGCATTCTGGTGTGATGTACTCTAAGAGCAGCCTTACGTACAAATGTTTTCCCACATTGTTCACATTCATAGGGTTTTTCCCCTGAGTGAATTCTCTGGTGTACTCTGAGAGTTGAATTTTGGGCAAAAGCTTTTCCACATTCATTACACTCATAGGGTTTCTCCCCTGTGTGAATTCTCTGGTGTGCACTGAGATGTGACTTCTGGGAGAAAGTTTTCCCACATTCATTACATTCATAGGATTTCACACCTGTGTGAATTCTCTGATGTACTCTGAGGGTTGAATTATGGGCAAAAGGTTTCCCACATATATTACACTCATAGGGTTTCTCCCCTGTGTGAACTCTCTTATGTGCACTAACATATGACTTTTCAGAGAAAGTTTTCCCACATTCATTACACTCATAAGGTTTCTCCCCTGTGCGAGTTCGCAGATGTGCTCTGAGATGTGATGTCTTGGAGAAAGTTTTCCCACATTCATTGCATTCATAGGGCTTCTCACCTGTATGAATTCTGTGATGTGCCCTGAGAGCTGAATTATCAGCAAAAGCTTTCCCACATTGATTACATTCATAGGGTTTTTCCCCTGTATGAATTCGCTGATGTGCACAGAGGTGTGTTCTTTGGGAGAAAGTCTTCCCACATTCATTACACTCATAAGGTTTCTCCCCTGTGTGAATTCTTTGATGCACTATGAGGGCTGCCTTGTAGACAAAACTTTTCCCACATATGTTACAATGATAGGGTTTTTCCCCCGTGTGAATTCTCTCATGTCCACTGAGGTATGATTTCTGGGAGAAAGTTTTCCCACATTCACTACATTCATAGGGTTTTTCCCCCGTGTGAATTCTCTGATGTGTACTGAGGTGTGTCTTCTGGGAAAAATTTTTCCCACATTCATTACATTCATAAAGTTTCTCCCCTGTATGGATTTTCTGATGTGCTCTGAGGGCTGAATTATGGGCAAAAGTTTTCTCACATTCATTACATTCATACAATTTCTCCCCTGTATGAATTCTCTGATGTACTCTGAGGGCTGAATTATGGGCAAAAGTTTTCTTGCAGTCATTACATTCATACGGTTTCTCACCCGTGTGAATTCTCTGATGTGCTCTGAGAGCTGAATTATACGTAAAACATCTCCCACATTCACTACATTCATAGGGTTTCTCCCCTGTGTGAATTCTCTGATGTGCTTTGAGAACAGAAATATGAGCAAAAGATCTCCCACATTCATTACACTCATAGGGTTTCTCTCCTGTGTGAATTCTCTGATGTGCTCGGAGGGTCGAATTATCAGCAAAGGCTTTCCCACATTCATTACATTCATAGGGTTTCTCCCCTGTATGAATTCTCTGATGTGCACCAAGGTGGGTTTTGTGAGAGAACATTTTTCCACATTCAATGCATTCATAGGGTTTCTCTCCTGTGTGGATTCTCTGATGTGCTCTGAGATGTGATGTTTTGGAGAAAGTTTTCCCACATTCAGTACATTCATAGGGCTTCTCTCCTTTGTGAATTCTCTGATGTTCTTTGACATGTGTCACCTTGGAGAATGCTTTCTCATATTCACTACACTGATGAAGTTCTATCTCTGTGTCTGTTCTCTGGTGCCCTACAAGGGGTGACTTGTAAGATTCTTCACAGGCGTTGTTATAAGGTTTCTCATTTCTGTGAATTCTCACACATTCATTGAGGTTTGACTTCTGACAGAAAGTTTTCTCACATTCATTACATTTATAGAGTTCAACTCCTATAGGAGTTCCAGGATGAACAGAGTGGGAATGTAAACAAAAAGATTTCCCACATTCTCTACATTCGTTAGGTTTCTCCCCTGAGTGTGTCATCTGATGCTGAATGAAGTGTGCTTTCTGGTAAAAGGATTTTCTGCATTTCCCAGATTCACCAGATTGGAAGAGTTTCTCCTCCATGGGAGTTCTCTGATGTAACATAAGATCCAGTTTCTGGTAGAAGGCATCTGTAGCTCTATTATAATCACAGGATTTATTTCCAGTTTGTATTTTCTGATGTACTAGATGGGCTGAGCTCTGGCTCAAACTTTCTTCATATTTATTGCTTTCCAAAGCACCCTGTCCTGTAAGAGTACTCTGAGATTGAGTGAGGGGTGACTTCTTACTGAAACCAATCCCACTTTCATTACCATCACAGTGTGTCATAGCCATATGAACTTCACTAAATCCATCATCCTTATAGGACTTCTCTCCCACTGGAGAAACCTCAGGTGTAAAACAGACGGTCTTATCATGAAAAACTTTCCCAATTTCATTACATTCAAAAGATTGTTCTGAAGTCTGAAATTTCTGATGATGATTTTTCTTACAACTTAGGGTTTTTATATTTTTGTTGTATTCATAAGATTTCTCTCCAGTGTGAGTTTCTTCATTCTTATCAAGTTGGAATTTTTCACATATATTCACGTAATTAGCTCTCTTCCTTGAAGAGTTCTCTTTACTAGTAAATAATTCAGAAACAATTGGTAAATTCTTCATATATGAATCATATTTACAGGGTATTTTTCCCAAAAAATCTGGAGCTATGTCCAGATTAAATGGTTTTTCTAAAACTTTCTGTCCTCCTTTATTCAGTGTTTTGTTGTTGATAAGTATTACTTGCCAAAGAGGCTTCTCTCGTTTTTCTTGTTTCCCCTTGATATGGACATCCACTGTGAGATATCCTAAAATAACAAATATTAAAATCATCTTATCAATCTTACACTTTTCATATAGAGGAAATAATAGCAATTTTTTTTAATCTATTTTATACTGTTCCTGGTTATGTTTCCAAAAATTAAATAATTCATGAAGATAGATATTCTTTGATTCTCATCAATGTTGATTTAAAAAACAAAAACAAACAAACAAAAAAAAAACAGGTATTATTTCCACCACCCAAGATGAAGTATATTTTTTCCTCCCAGGTTCTCCTCCTTATAATGGAAAATCCCTGGACTGGACTAGTTCCATGGCCTAATAGTTAAGGAAACTAGATCCTACCACATAGTTGAAAATGTGCTTTCAGTCCTGGATCTAGAGAAACAGATTGAGTGCAAGCCCAAAATCCTAAAAGGAGTGAGGAACAGAGGCAAAGGGACTGAAATGTGACCATATCCATGGGAAGATGCTCTCTCTTCTTGCTCTTTTTTCAGTGAGCACATATGTACTCTAGTAAAAGGCTTTTTTTTAAATTTTAACTTTATTTATTTATCCATTTATTTAAATTTGACCAGAGAGGGACAGAGCAAGGGGGAGAATGAGAAAGAAAGCCACCAGGTCTGGGACTCAAACAATGGTCAGTCATATGGGAGGTCCAGCACCCTTAACCACCACACCAAAAGAAAATTTAAAAACGAAAACTCCTATCCTTTACCATAATGCAAAAAAAAAAAAAAAAAAAAAACCACAAACAAACAAAAAGGTATTTTCTATGCTGAAAACTATAAAAAAATGAAAGAAATAGGGACCAGCAGATGGCATAGTGGTTGTGTTGCTAGACTCCCACATGGTCAGTCGTAGTTCAAGTACCAGACCTGGCAGTTTGAAACTCACATAGGGCATTCTGTGTATGCATGCCCAAAATCCCAAGAGAAGAATGGAGAAGGGACTGTAGTGTAGCCATCCCCCCCACTCCCCGAGGGATGACTTCTCACTTTTTGTCTCTCTCTGTCTTTCTGGTGAGTGAACATGTCCTATAGCAAAAATCTCTATCAAAAAAAAAAAAAAAATCCATACTGTCAAGGTGTCAATTCTCTTTCATTTGATCTACAGATGCAATGCAGTCCTGGTTGAAATGTCACCATGTTTATTTTTGTAAATATCAAGAAGCTTGTTTTAAAATTCATACAGAAGAGAGCAAGCAGGTGGTGTGGAGGTTAAGGCACTGGATCCCACATAGCTGACTCTGTGGTTTGAGAACCAGACCAGGTGGCTTGAAAATCATGCCAGGCATGCGTGCATGCATGCCCAAAATACTAAGAGGAGAAGGGATTGAAGCATGGCCATCTCCCTCGGGGGGATAGGGTGGGGGAGAAGAGGTGTGTGTGTGTGTGTGTGTGAATTTTCACTGCTCCCCCATCTCTGTCTCTCTCCAATTGAGCACAAGTATTCATTCATTTATTTTTAATTTGACAGATACACAGAGAGAGAGAGCGAAAGTGAAAAGGCAAGTCACCAGATCCATGACTTGAACCGTGGTCATCAGTCATGTGGGAGTGTCCAGCACCTTAACCACAATCCCACAATCACCTCTTTTCTAAAGTTAAAATGCTATTCAATGGAGAAATGGCAGTCTTTTCAACAAGTAGCACTAGAATAACTGGGCTGTCCTTTTCAAAAAAACTAAACTTGATACCTACACCTCACACTTTCTAGACAATTATGAATCATAAGCTAAGTGCAGACAAAGTGAAA